GTTAAAAATATTATCAAAAAAAAAAAAAAACTGCTAAAAAAAAAAAAACTAATATAGAAGTAATAAAAAAAAAATAAAAAGAAACAAATAAAAATAAAAAAAAAAGTAGTTGCCTTTTAGCTTGGACTAGGAACAAAAATATTATGTTATAGCAATATATGTATATCTCATATAATTTCTAAATAAACATCATCTTTTGATTAATCCGTCTTATACTTTAGCTATATTTTTTAGAAACTAGATGTATATAGTTACTTATGTATAGCACAACAAAGATCTAAACAGACCAATTTGTCACATAGTTGTTTTCTCATGATAATCTAAAAATAGTAAAGATAAACAAAGATCGTTATTTATAGAGAGAAATCTAATTCCTATTTTTCAAAAAAGAAAAAAGAAAAATCGCAGAACTTTAATATACAGAGTTTATTCAAATAGAACCAAAAATTATAAGCCAGAAGAGAAAGTATATTGCTACTTGACTCAGTTTAAGTAGTTTAGTGAGTTTATTCACAATATTTCTACAAGTTGTTCATTAAGCTAAGAAAAAACTAAAACCTGCTAAGGTTAGTAGCAAAGCTCTAGTAGGCCTCTTATAAAACTAGTAGTAATAGTTTAAAAGCTATACTCTGCCTAGTTCAGAATGTTATCTTTCATACTGTTCAATATTTTTTTCTTGCTAAGTGGTTAGAGTTATTTTTTGTAGTTTTTTTCTGTTTACTCTATTTTAGTTCTAGAGATTATTAGAAAGAGTATATTATTTTGAAAAAAAAATTAAAATATTTAAATAAAAATTTTTTTAAATAAAAACTATAAATATATATTATTTAAAAATTATTTTAATCTTTCTAATTTTTACAAAAAATTTATGTTACTTATGAAATAAAATTTTTTAATTTTTTAAAAAAATTTTAATTTTTATAATTTTTCTTTTTTTATTATTTTACTTAGTATAAGCTTAAGATTAGACCTCTACTACCTTAATAAAAGGTTATAAAACATAAAAAAATAAATAACTTTTGTTATTATATTTTTTATAATTTTATAATCAAAATTTTAACTTTAATTAGAAGTAAAGACAAATTTTCTCTTTGAAAATATATAAATTTTTAAGAGAGTTTAAAAAATTTTAATAGTAAATTTAAAAAATTAAGTTTAAAAAATATTAAATATCTTTGTCAAAATTAAAAATAAAGTAATAAAATTTTAAAATAATATTTAAAAAGGTGAATACTTTAATTTTTGTTAGTAAATAGAGGAAGTAAAGCTTAAAAAGTTTTTGTGTAATTAAATAAAAATGAGGCAAAAAATATTTTAGTATTCAAATATAGATACTAGACAGTTTAAAAGATAGTAATAAATTATCAGATACTGATATTAAAATAGCTAATAAAGAATATAAACTAGAATAATATTTTAGTTTTGATAATAAAAAATATAATCATATAATAAAAGTTATAAACAAAAAATAGTAATCTAAAAAAGTAAATAGTTTAGTTTTAAATAAATATCAAATTAATATATTTATTAATATTATTACTAATATTTATCAATTTAGTTAAAGCATATTTTATTATTATACAAAAATATATCTATAATAAAAAATTCTAATAAAATTAAAAGAATCCAGTAAGATAATCATCATATCAATTACTATATTTAACTACTATCTAGTATTCATAAATAGAATATTTTATAATTATATAATATTAGTAATACTAGTAATAATTCTAATATAATATTTAGTAATACTACTAGCACAAATTTTAATTATTTTCCTATTAAAATATCTAGTAATTTTTCTTTACAAATATTTACAAAAATATCTAGTAATGTTTTTATAGAAATATATGATAATACTATTACAAAAATATCTAATAATACTCTTATAAAAATATTTAGTAATATTTCTACAGAAATATCTAATAGTAATACCTTTGCAGAAATATCTAGTTATAATATTTCTGCAGAATTACTTAATAAAACCTTCTAAAAAATATCTAGTAATATTCTTAAAAATCATCTAATAATATCTCTAAAAATATATCTAATAATATTTCTAAAAAATATCTAATAATTTCTTTGAAAAAATATATCTAAAAATATATCTGGTAATAGTTTTAGTAAAAATTTGATATTTATTAATTATTTGAATTATAATTTTTAATTATTTTTTTTAAATACAAAATTTGAACTAGTAATAAATATAATAATACAAATAATATAACTAGATTAATAAGAGATAAAAGTAAATCTATTAAAAAAGTAATTATAAATTTGATATTATATTATTGATTATTACTAATTTTAATTTTAATTTTTTCATTTTATTTATTTTTAATAAGCTATCTGCAGATTTTTTTAAGTATTATTTTTAAATTATATTTGTTAGTAAGAGTATAATTAGCTATATAAACAACTTTAGTCATTATCTATTTAAAAGTTCTGCTATATAGATTACTTACTGATTACTATATCTAGTATTTGCTTGCAGATACTTTATTTAAACTTTCTGGTATCATTTAAAACTCTATATTTAATCTCATATTTATAATCTATACTAATCTTATACTGATTTATTTTGAGAATTACTCAGACCAACTTGTACTTCAAATTGTCTTCATAAAACTGAGTTCTATTACAAGGTACTCTAATAGTTCTATTCTTTTTTTTTTATTTTTTATTTATTTATTTATTTATTTATTTATTGATAATATTAATTAGAAAGGAGATTAGTATATTTATATATCAGGATAATATATATATGAAGCTAATATGTATTCCTAAATTTCATTATTATTGCTAAGACTATTTATAATTGTTAGACATCTAATGTGATATTACGCCCTCATTTTCTATTTGCTAGTTAATTTAAACAATAGTTACTATTAACTATAGAGAAGGTTGAAGGAGACCTCTAATAGTTCTATTCTGATAAAAGCTTATAGATAATCTTAGCTATATTATGCTATATTCTAATTAAACTAGTATCTACTCTTATCAGTATTCATATAAATCTAGTTTCTGATATAGCTCTCTACCAAATTAGTCCTCTAAGTTCTTCTAAATATTTTATAAGATAGATCTTCACAAATTTAGTTAGCTACTAAGCTAAGTTAGTATTGCTATATAACTTCACATAATAGACTTACTAGCATCTACTTGATTTATATTTTTTATATTTAGACTTCTTTTTTAGATTAAATATCAACTAGTATAATTATTAAAATTTATACTATAATATCTAATTTAAGATTGCTACTATGCAGATCTCCTGCTTATAAATTCTATTAAGATTTATTTATGTAATGATATATTATACTTAATACTATATCATATTTAATATTGTATTATATTATTAATATCTAATTTATATTAGTATAATATAATTTACAAAATAACAACCTCTAGAAATAAACAGGATTTATTGTAAATTAGATATTAAAGTCTGAATAATTATTCAAATTTGTTAATAGTAGAATTTGAACTTTAATTCTTTTATATAGCAGTCTAATAACTTTACCACTATACTAAGATCACTAGATCTATAATTTTAATTATATTTTTCTAATATTTCAAATAGAAATATAGAATTTAATAATAATTTATAAGATATTATATAAATGATATTTCTAATTAATCAAAAGATATCAACTCTTTCTGTCAATCCTCTGACCACTTTTTTCCGAAAAGAAAACCTGACCTGTGAAAATACTTTTTATTATACAGATAACAATATTCTTTTCTAAGTGTTCTATGATGTATTGTGCGCAAATACCTTCCTTGCAAGCTCTTTTTAGCCATATTATCTAGAAGTAATTCTTAGGTACTATCAAAAAAGTAGTAGCAG